CAGGTTGTTCATCAGAGTTCAGTGAGTGGATACTCATAAAATGCTCAGAACACACACAGCTCACAGTCACCATTAATGGTTCTTAACGGTGCTACGAGTACCATTAGTGCAGTCTAAGCATGATACTGTGCCATACTTTTGGCTCTGATGAGGCCTTTACACATGATTGACTTCTAAGTCAGGTTGACATTTTATATGGATGCAGGTGGTCATTGTGAACTTCTGTGAGGTATATGGTACACTTATTCAGGATTGCCCCTGAATAAGATTTTGAAAATAAGGGCAATCACTAGTCTCTTACGATTTGGAAACCCAGAACTGGCTTCATCCATTAATTTAACAAGTACTGTTATGGTGACATAACTCAGTGGCATAAATGTCTGCCTGACAACCTCAAGGTCCAGAGATTGATCCCAGGTACCAGGAAAAAAAAAATCAACAAGGACCTATAATATGGAAAGCAATGCACTAATAAGGGTTTATTGATACATAAAATGGTGCCTGCCCTCAAAGAATAAATGAGGAAATAAGAAATACAAATAGGGCTGGCCAGATAGCTCAGTGGACTAAGGCAAGGGGCCGTGGTTCAATCCCCAGCCTGCCATGATGGCCCCACCCCCAGGGCGCGCTGAAACAGCTATTGAGACTGGGTGTGGTGGTGCACACCTGTAATCCCAGCTCTTGGGAGGCTGTAAACAGGCGGATCACTATGAGTCCGATCTAGTAGTGAGACCCTGAACACCCTGTAGACCCTCCCCTAAAAATACATTTAAAAAAAAAGGAAGGAAAGAAATAAAAATAAAAGACTTATTTGGGGATTGAACCCAGGAGCATGAGCTGCATCCCCAACCTTTTTTTTTTTTTTAATTTTGAGATATGTCTGAGTTGCTCAGGTTGGCCTTGAGTTTGTGGTCATTCTGTCCCAGCCTCCTGAACAGGTGAAGCTATGCCTGGCTCTGTAGTACTTTTTTTGTTTTTTTTAAATGGAAAAAGGTAGAACAAAATTTCATAACTAAACAACAGGGGAATAGCACTTGTGAATACACTGTATATTGTCATCTTCAAAGTAATTATTCAGAGCACAAACTATATAGTAGCGCTTATTTTTATTTCAGTAGTGGGGATCCAACCCAGGAGTGCTCTACAACTGAGATACATCCCCGAAACACCTCCCTTTTGTGAGACAGGATATCACTAAGTACTTTTGATGGTTCTTGTGGTGTACTACTGGTCCCGACTCTCCACACTTTTTGTCATGTAATTTTGCATGTCCTGTCTGCTTTCTGTGGGGGTTCTCCCATCTTTCTTCTTGAATTTGGACTTGTCTCTATGACTTCAGGCAAAATATGAGCCTGAAATGTGTGCATGAGTTCCAAATGTAGGCCTTCTCCGAGAGGACCACCCGAAGGCCACAGTCAACACACTGTAGAGGCCTAGATTGGTCCATTAGCTTAAGGTCTAATCTCTGAAACAAACACCTTGATCTACATCTCATTCATAGTAGTCCTGCTTTTCTATCAAATCCTGCCCCCAAACCCTGGCAGCTAGGAGAGAGGTGCTGTCATAAAGCCGAAAACAAGTGGCATTAGTTTTTTTTTTTTTTTTTTAATTTATTTTTTTTTTTTTTTTTTTTTGTGTGTGTGTGTGTGGCCAGCTCAACCCACCAGGGGGCGGGGCTGGCTGGCATGTGGTGCTGGGGATCGAACCGCGGTCCCTGCGCTTTGCTAAGCTTTTTCTAAGTAGGTGCTTTAGACAACTGAGCCATCTCACCAGCCCCAATGTGGCATTATTTTTGGATTCAGTGGCAGATGTTAGCAGGAGAAAGTTATTGAAAATCTCATGGAACTTTAGGTGATAAGAGGCTATCAATATTGCCAAAAGTGTTACTTATTTCACAGAATACAGAAACTGTGTCTTAATGAACTTAACTCAGCTAAGATTTCCAGGCAGCATTTTAAAATCTGAAATGAGAAAGACATAATAAAAGGAACGAATTATTGTTTCCAAATGAAATTTGAAGGAAGTACAAATGCTCAGGACAGCTCTTTCAGCTATGTGGTCTCACATTCTGAAACAGCTTCCAAGCAAAGATCTAATCCGAAATTAGTAAGTTCCTAAGATCTCAGAAAGATGGTAATGCCTCTTAAGACATTTCAGACAAGCAGTTCCCTGTGCATCCTAAAAGCCTGTGGATGTCATCTCTCCTGTTGCTGGCGCAGAACACCTGATGCCCACAACTTAGGGGAGGAGAGGTTTAATGGGCTCATTTCAGACCATGTTGGGCTGGCTTGAAGGCAGGAACATCTTGGCAGAAAGGCGCGATGGAGCCAAGATGCTCATTTCAGGGAAGCAGCACAGAGGAACAGGAGCAGGAGATACACTCCAAAGGCAAGTTCCCAAAGACCCACTTCCCGTAAACAAGCCCCACCTCCTACCCTAAGAGGACATTCAGCCGGAAACATCAGTGGATCCATCTACCATCATGTGCCTCCCATGGTCTCCTCTCCAGACGCTCACTCTAGTCGAACTGCCAAGATTAACTGGACAGCACATATTGTCCAACCTGCCCAAGGCTTCTTAGAATCTTAATGTGTATCAGCCTCTCAGGGTACCCAACTTGAGGACTGTTTGCAGTGACTCACATATGGCTTCTGTATGATGCAGTACACTATAAATTGATGGGAGATGTCCTTGTTTCAAAAAGCGTTGGTTATTAGCTTGGGCAGGACTGGTGTAAGAGGCTACTGGATCCTCCACTTTCTGTGAGCAAGGAGTTGACAGAGAACACTGCTTGGCTGTAAACATGTGCTGCCTTTATGCAAAAGGAAGATTCAGAAGGTAGGGTCGAGAGTCTTGAATGAACACCATAAGCACTAGTCAAGGTGGCTGACTGGGTTTTTGAATTGCTAGACAAGTGACTGGTAGACTGTTTTCAGGATACTAGGAATTGGAATAGGCTTTCACACTGAGCTAGATCTCCAGCACTTCTAGAGATAGGGTCTGAGTTCCTGAGTTGCCCAGGATGGCCTCAGAACAAACTCATCATCCAGTTTCAGCCTATGAGAGTAGTGAAATTACATATGCCACACATTGTATATGACTTACTCTCCCTTTTTCTATGTCAGCCTAGAAGTTATATGCCTACCAGGTTAGAACAGTTGGGATGAACAAGCCAGATGACTGAATTCACAGGCCTTTGAACTGAGAGGAGGCAATGAACAGCCTTATCCACACGAGGACCTGATTGGATGAGCTCCTAGACTTTAGGCTGTTAGATGGGATATGATCTGGAGGGCTTGAGACATACTGGATTTACTCCACACCTGAGAGATGTAAATTACTGGTGTCCAATGGCAGGCCTGAAAAGATGATCCCACATTGCTATTTGTTTCTCATTAAAATTATGGAAAAAAAAAGAAAAGAAAAGATGATCCCACCACGTATCACATCATTCACTTTACAATGTGACTGGGTGGGGAGTTCACATATCTGCCCTTTAATAAGGAGACTGGAACCAATCGCTGCTACATGACTCAAGAGACTGGGTCACATATGAAAGGCTATGCAGCTCTAGACAGGCTTTCTGGACCCCCACCTGGGGTCAAGTCATGACTGCTTCATGCATTCCACACTGTAAAGCCCAAACTAATCAATCCTTGGAAAAGTGGTAGCATCCTGCAGCTACACAGAGATGGGCCAGGTCCCTACTGCTTTGGCACATGTCTCACCAGCATGTGTGAACCCGAGACCCAGAGCCAAAGCCCTCGACTTTACACACATCTGACTTGTTTTAAGCCACTAAGTTCTGGGATGATCTGCAGTGATGGTTAGTTGAAATATGCTTCTGGCATAAGACGGCCATTTCATTTTTTAAAAAATCTGTTTGGTATAGGGTCTTATTACAGTTCAGACTCATAGTGATCCTCCTGTCTCAGCCTCCCCAGCATTGGGATTACAGCATGCACCACCACACCTGGTTTTGGGGCTGGCACAGACTAAATCCTGGTCCTTGAACCTGCCAGGCAGGTGCTTAGACCACCAAACTATCTGCACAGCCCTGCCATTTCATTTTTAATTTACCTAAACCAAAGACAAACTTTACGTCAAACAATGAAATTATACCGCCTTTTTTTTAAGCCAGGTTCTTGCTATGCAGTTCAGGCATAGTGAACTCACTATGTAGCTGGCCTTCAACTCACTGTGATCCTACTTCAGCTTCCCAAGCGAAAGTGTTGGAATTACAGGCATGCACCACCATGTCTGGCTTAACAAACTTTTTCTTTAGGGTAGAAACAAGAAAGATAAGTGGTATTTTCTAGTAACAATATGCTTCAGGATACAATTTAAACCCTGCAAAGCGGTATACCCACAAGCCTTTGGGGTTGTAATATGGAAGGAAGCCATCTGTTTTACTGGGGAGATTAAAGACCCTGAAGTAAATCCACTCATGGTAACTGCTTTGAATGCTTTTAGGGCCTTGTGGGAAATCAGTCTCTTCCTTTCCCTCCCTCATGAATTTCCCTACCACCATGCAGAGCCTTGCCCCAGCCCAAAGCCACAGAGCTAATGGATTATGGATCAGAAACCATGACCGCTCATTTTAAGGTATTTAGCTATTTACCAAAGATACTTTTGTATGAATCACATTCATCTTTACTAAGAAGACTGTTTTTTCAAATCTTCCTTCCTTCCTTTCTTTCGGTGTCTCACTATGCAGACTAGTGATCCTTCTGTCTTGGTCTCCCTGTAATCCCAGCGCTGGGATTACAGGCATGCGCCACACCTGGCTTCAGTAACCTGCTCAGCTCAGGGCCAGCACAGCATGTGGTACCAGGAACTGAGCTCAGGTCCTTGTGTTTGCCACACAGGTGCTTATTTGACAGCTGAGCTATCTCCCCAGCCGGACTCAATATTCTTGTCCCAAAAAAAATAACACTTACTTGTAAATATAAGTTTGTAAACTGCAAATAAAACCATAAAATTAATGAAGATGAGATCTGTTGCATGCTGCTTTATATTTTATTTACCATAAACAATACAATAATACAGTAAATAGTAGAGAAAGGCGTTTTTAGTAATGATGCAAAGCTAAACACTTAAAAATTATGCTTGGTCCCCCCCCCACCTCAATTCAACATGCAGATATCATTTGTTTTCATATAAGCAAAATCGAGAGCATCACAGTCTTAAGAGTTTTAGAAGAGTATCTTTGTCTTGTAACTTGAAAAAAGCTTGCAAACTGTACATACTCGTGGCATAACACCATCATTCACGGTAGCCCCCAATGTAGCCTACATTTACATGATCTTAACCCTAAAATCTATATTGTTCTTTAAACATCATAGTAAGTCAAACCACACAAAGCAAAACTTAGTTTTAAGTGCGTTTATGAAGAATGCTGCTGAGCTCAAAGCATGCAGATATTTCACAATCACTTAGATGAAGCTGAATATTGAAACTGCTTCATGATGTCCAATGAGGTACTTTTTCATTCATCCCACGTATCTCCATATTTGTTTACTTTGACTAGGAAAAAAAGCATAAATAATTTATTTCAAACAGTAACAAGTAAAAGACCGTATGTTAGTTGTCATGATGAAAAGTTCTCCCTCATTTGAATAAAACATGGAAGAGTCAAATCTTAATCATAAAAGGGACTGACTACACTTCTGTGAACTAGGGGTTGTTCAGAACTACAAATGCCCTATATTTTTACATAAAAACTTGATCCTCCTGAGCAACCTTATACAGTAAATCCAGTAAATCCCCTACTGAATGGTAAGAAAACAGATTAGTAACTTGCCCAAGGTATAAGCCTTAACAAGTAGAACTAAAATTTAAGCATGTCTGTTTTACAAGCCTTTTTACCAACTATGTAAGTGTGGCATACATTATCACATGTACCAAAAAAAGCTGCCAAAAAATATGTAAAAAATAAAAACATATTTTTGTTTACAACAAATACCACATGGTTAAGTTTTCAAGTTGGGGTTAATTCAGTCTTATCTCTTTGGAGCTGTCATACAAGGAAATGGTTTCAAATATTCCAGTATTTTACATGAAATTAAATTTCAAAACATGATCCTATCTTTTCTACTCTTTTTACCTTCTCTTCTACTAGTATCCATCTGTGGATACTACAACTCTTCAGAAGACTCAACTAATCATAACAACACAAAAAGTAATTGTCGGGCTGGTGAGATGGCTCAGTGGTCTAAAACACCTACTTAAAACAAGTTTAGCAAAGCACAGGGACCGCGGTTCAATCCCCCAGCACCACATGCCAGCCAGCCCCGCCCCCTGGTGGGCTGAGCTGGCCACACACACACAAATAAAATAAAAATAAAATTAAAAAAAAAAAAAAAAAAAGTAATTGTCACAGTGTGGTCCTTTCAGGCCAACCATGAAGTCAAAATTATTTCATTACTATGCTAAGACATAATCTATTCCCCTTTGTTCTCATTATCTCATGATTATGACAATTTTCTAGGAAACTGTATGATGTGGTGACATGGCTCTGAAAATGTGTTTTTGAAATTGCTAAGTTTTGATTTCTAATTAGAATAACGGTAATAATTATAATCCACATCAACTAAAGTGGAAAGCTTTGACATATTCAGACCCTGGAACTAGATTCAAGAATAGAATTAAAAAAAAAAAAAAAAAATTACTGAAACTATTTCATTTGGCTGGGCATGGTGGTGAATGCCTGTAATCCCAGTACTTGGGAGGCTGAGGCAGGAGGATCACTCTGAGTTTGAGGCCAGCTTGGGCTACAAAGTGAGGTCCAGGTCAGCCTAAACTGCATAGTGAGACCCTGTTTCAAAAAGACAAAAATACCCACAAACCCCCAAAACATACCGTTTTCTTTAAAATTATGTAAAATCAGTTTTTCTTTTACAAAACAAAAACACTGTTTTATAAGCATGTCAAGACTAATTAAAAACACAACTGTCAAAATCCACCTAATCCTAGAGATTCAATAATTTCATTTTCTTTCCCTCTATTACTACGTACGGCCCAACGAAAATACTCATTTCTGATATAACAGTGCAAAGTACTAGGCTGAACAAACTTACTGGAAAAGATTACAAAAATAAGAAAAACACCACATTTCCTGCCCTCTCAGAGCTTACAGTCTAAATCCTCAACTTTGCAAAGTAAAGTACCGATCAGCCTTGGCATACTACAGAGCAATGGCCACTGTATGCATAGATTTTACAACTCTACATGAAAGCTAGATTTTTTTTAAAGCATCAAAATTATGGTGTAGACATTATCAGTTACAAAAAAAAATTCTAAAGGAAGGAACTATTATCAGAAATAAAACTGGCTCTAAAAAGGATTTTAATAACAAATACTAATGGTTTGCATGTATTTTTGCACTAATTACCAAAGGCCTATTTCTTTCTTTTGTGCTGGCAGGGACTGAACTTATGGCAAATGCTCTACTACCGGTTACATGTTCAGCTTAACTATTATTATTTTATAATTTACGTATTTGTTACGAGGTCTCACTACGCAGCTCAGACTCACAGTGAGCCTCCTGTTTTCAGCCTTCCCAGTGCTGGGATTACAGGTGTGTGCCACCATGCCCAGACTCAGTGGGGCCAGCGCTGCATGTAGTGCGGGCCAGTGTGGCACGTGTGCCAGGGATTGAACCCTAGTACCTGTGCTTGCCTAAGCAGTGCTTAGTCTGCTGAGCTTTCTCACCAGCCCTCAGCTTAACTTCTAAAATAAACAGAAAACCTTTAAGTAATGACACACTCTCTAAAATTCCTTAAAAGAGAAAGCTCACAAAATTCTATACTGAAATGGCTATAGAACATATATTCATAATGTCCTCATCCTTTACAGATTAACTTCTGTGTCAGAAAATTTATTTTGGGGGGAAAAATTTTCCTTTTGTAAAAGTTTTACCAAAAGTAAAAAAACAATTACTTTTGGTAATATTCAGCTAAGAACTGGATGTGGTACAGCACAGCTGTGGTTCTAGCCACTCAAGAGACAGGAGGACGCCAAGTCTAAAGGCCAGCCTGAGGACCTTAGTGAGACCTTACCTCAAAAATCTTAAAAAATGCTTGGGGATGCAGCTCAGTACTCCCTAGGTGCAACTCGCAGGACTAGGAGAGTGTGGGGCAAGGAGAAAAAAAATCAAATTCTCTGTTGCAACATCTTAAAAGCTAAGGCACATAACTCTTTCAATCACACAAACACAGAAGAAAAACAACTTATTTCACGAAATGATTCTGCCTTGCCAAAAGCGGCATTGCAACCCAATGCTCAACCTTGGGCCATGCAAGAAATGTACCATTAGAAAAAAGATTATCAGTCCCTAAGTGATGTCTTACAAAGAAAAGTCAATGGGTGTAAAATTTCCATGTGGTACTTGACTTACAGAACCAGTCTGTCTTAAGTCTTCCTATTTGGACTTATTTTCTTGTTTGAGCTTCA